GTGAGGATTAAGCGGTGTATAGATAATGGATGGATGGAGTTGTTTGCAGTTTTTAGCGTAATCAAGCAAACCGACAGTATTGTTGTTCATTTTTACGTTGATTGTGTGCAAAGTGCCTTATATTGTTGTTTATATGTGGAGACAATAACTAACCAGACGTAGAGATGACTGTGAGCGATTATCTTTAAAATATGACCCTCATGAATGACATCAAGTCATTCTGATGCACTGGTACCATTCAGGTAGGAGCTGTGATCACTTTAACTGCATTATCTGAGCTGAATTAGTCTTTAAAAAATAGAACCAGGTTGGTTATAATCTGGGCCACAGTGCCGAGACATAAAGATAACTGCATAAGAGATAATGTCTTTGTGACTGTCTGACCCGTATAAAAGCAGCTGTGGGTGTATAAGAACTGGACGATTTCTGCGTTTGGCAGACGCCCTCCTCCAAAGGTTAGGAGGGCTGATGTGACTCACTGGCTCAGCCCACCAGCTCTCTCCACCACCGTCATCAAAACACCCAACGAGGGAATATGTTTTGGAAGAATGCTCCCTCCAGTAGAGCACCACAGACTTGGAGAATCTGTTGTAGGGCACACTGAAGCTGTTCTGGTGGCACATGGTGGCCCAAAACTTTACTAAAACACAGTTTTTTTCTCCATCTGCAGTTTAGAGAAATGCTACTACTTCTGTAGCTCTCTCTTCCTGAAGAATAGCCAACAGTGTTCCTAGATAATTTCCTTTTTGCCTAATTCCACATATATATATAACCCTGGCAGTGCATCAAGGCACCTCATAAGGAACTTCAGGACTCCACAGTTGCGACGTCTGTGCTGTTCTTCCCCTGGTGTAACTTCATCCAGACTCCTGCAAGTCCACTGTCTACAGCCAGTCTGCTACCTTACTGCCTTCTACCCCAACATGTGCTGGCACCCATTGATAATGAATCACTGCACAAAACAATCTCATCCAACTCCCTTCATCCACCCACTGCAGTGCCCACAACGGAGCGACTAATTCTGCAGAGAATATTAATATCCCATCAGGCAGTCGGACAGATTTGCACAGATTGTACGTCGGCTATGAGCCAAATCCCACTCTTCTACTTTCAGGCTCTTGAGTCATCAGTATTTATATGGTTGGACCTCTTATTCCAAAGGTGTCCCTCTGCATAGACCACAAGATTTCTCATTTCTGTATTGATTCTCTTATTGACACGTCCACATTAACCTTTGTCCGCGGCCATGAGGGACAGGTTGCTCTGAATATTTTCTTATAGAATTTATAGCTGCCCCTATTAGACCTACCGCCACGCTCCTGCATCAAAGAGATTGATGTTCCGAAGTCGGTTCATTTTATCCAGTAGATTAGCTCTTATTTCGCAGCCTCAGTGGAGCCTCCTTGGGTTACACCAGGGATTCAACCATGCATGTTTCGCTTCACCTCGGCACCCAGAGGCAGCTGTAGAATAAATATGTGGATTGAATTTATTAGCCCCCATGTTACTATACACTTAGACACAAGTGCATTTACCGGTACAGGTCTGGATCTGCTGTCAGAGTCCAGTTAATGTTAAAGAGGCAGTTCATTCAAACTACAGAAAATAACAACAACAATAAATAATTGGTTTGCAATAATAAACAGCACAAAGATAATTCTGTTTTCATTTATCCAGCTATGGAAGGTAACATATAAGATGTATGTCTCACATTAGTTGTGGTTTAGTTTAGTTGTGGCCCAAGTATAGATAAAATAAAACTAGAAACTAAAAACCACCAATATTATCGACCCGATATTGGCTTAAAAATGTGATATCTGTCTGTTTTTTGTGCCTATAATGAAAACTCATAAACTAACGCCTGGATTTTGCATTTACCGGCGTGCAAATGATGATCAAACTGTGTCGTGACGCATGTAAACAAGTGCGGCTGCAGTAGCAAACATATATCGGTATCGGTTGATATCGGAAATTAAGAGTTGGACAATATCGGCTTATCGGATATTAGCAAAAAATCCAAGATCAGACATCCCTGAGTAAAACCATCAAAGTTGAAACTGGAGCAACTGGGGGCCTCAACAGTCAAAGTTGATTCAGTAGATGCTCACATACTCTGAAAACATTATATTTCCTATACTCATAATCAGTAACATTTCAGCTGTTATAGCCCCGATTTCTATCAGCGTTTTCTGGTACAACTACAACTGAACTCACTCAGTAAATCTGCATGAAGAATTTAAACTTCTCACAACAACACCACTGATTATGAGACAGTATTGCCTCAAAAAAAAAAAAAAAAAAGGTATGCAAGATGCTCTACGTCTGGAGACTCTATGCAGAAAGATCCCGGGTGTCCTCACCAGGACACGAACCGGCGACCTTCTTGCTGCGAGGCAACAGTGCTAACCACCAAGCCACCTTACAGCCCCACTGGAACTCACATAAATAGTAATTGTCAGTGTTTTTTAATGTCAGCTGAGGTTGTGTTTCAGCTGGAATTAGAGGTGGATGTGGGACCCTCACTGGACAAAAGACAGACATATTAAACAAAATGAAAAGGACAACACCACAGCTTCACTTTCACACTTCCTGCTTTTGCTTTAAGAACTAGTTTCTGAATCCAGTTTTGACCCCGAACATGATGTGATACCAAATCAAAGCGACTGAGAGGGTCAGTTCAAGTCTGCTTTCTAGACGAGTTAGAGATAGGAGGCCTCTCTGTATATGTACAGATCAGAGATTAAACCCAAAATCAGCTCACTGATCCCCTTCATAGGGGTCAATAAGCTAATTTTATCCTGACGTGGGGCATTAAAAACCCCCATCCAGTGAAAATCAAGTGGGGTTTTTTTCTTGGTAATATGTTCATGTGTTGTTTTTTTATATGTTTTAAAGACATAACATGAGTAAAATAGAAAGTCAACACCATGGCTGAGCATTTTCACCTTAAAACCACAGAGTACCGGTGACAGTATCAAAGAGTTGTAGGTAAACTGGTGTGCTGGAGCTGCAGTTAGGGCATAATACAGAGAGAGAAGGGGCCTTCACAGCATTGTGGAGGAAGCAACAGTGCAGAGTTATATTTAAGGCAGGAAGGGAGGATGTTCAGGGGGAAAACATCTTTGAAACTTTAATACACCGAGATGGCTTATAGGAACAGTCAGACCTGCTCAATGTCTCCCTCTGCAGCTCCCTGTACAAACAGCAGCTCCTCAGCTGGATCAAAAGCCTTTTCCTTGCCACCTTGACTACCAGCCTGTTTTGCTGTGCTTCACACTTGAAGAGCAGAGGGGTCTCTACTGCTCACCAGCTGATTTCAATACAAAAACACTCATCGTGGACTCAAGGGTGATTTTTTACATGCAATCAAAGTGAAGAACGCCCTTCTGTGTACGCCAGGCAGCCATTAATCAGCGCCTGCATCCCTCTCACTGGGCACTGGACCATTAGTTGTTCTAATGTTGTGCATGTTTAACCCAAATCTAGGAGGAAAAAAAGCCACAAACAGTTTGAGGAATGGTGCAGATTTACACATTTAAACATGACTCCATACAGTCACTCTGTCAAGGTCTTGTCAAAATAAAGTCATAAATCTGTATTCATGTAGGAGTAAACTATAATGTTTAGAGCAGTCCATGCATTTATGGGCGTTGTCCCCTGTGTTGACTTTACTCCTCTCACAGAAACACTCCACACATGTTGCAACACTGCTGCTGCTGCTGCTGCTTGATTCAAGTCCCCGGAACGCCCATGTACCAGCAATGTAATCAGATTACTCCACCGCTGTTCGGTGATCACGTTTGTAAATGAGCACACAGAGCATCACGCTGCGGCTCTGGAACACACCTCTGCAATCAGCTGCTGGCATCAGCATCAGCAGGACGACGTTATTTTCGCTTCTTCTGTAGCCCGAGAGGGCAGCCCTGCTGAAACGCTGCGGTAATGCTGCGTTCAGGGACGGTTGGAAACTCAGGAATTGGCGTCGAGCGTCCATGAAGCGCTTAAAATACGTCATAGAAAAGTGGATGGTTCACCAGAATGTGACTTTAACGGGTTAAACATGCCAGCAGCTCTTTACAATGAATGACATAAGGCTAGATTTATTTATTTGAACAATTTAGATAATCTCAGTTTCTCTCACACTTTATTAAAAACAGGATGGTGTAGTTATTTGGATCAGATAATTAAGACAGCAGTGAACTGTTTTGATTACTTTTTTAATAATAATGGATCCACAAGAAGCATTAAACAGACGTTTAAGACACAAAATATAATTAAGAAAAATAAAGATTATAAAAGACAGAAAGAAAAATGCAGAGAAAAAAACAAAACCATAACAAAATGTAAATGAAACCAAAGATTGCTGTCAGACAAACTGATTTATTATTTAGATTAGTTCAGTCAATCTCCATAATAAATAATACTTGGCCATAGTATCTGAATTAACTGGGGTATTATTAGCCGTAATATTTATCATAGTCTGACAAAGTTGAATATTACATATAATTTGGATTATAATCCATAATATCTGAAGCAGGGGTGTCCAATCCTGGTCCTCGAGGGCCACAGGCCTGCATGTTCTAGATGTTTCCCTCTTCCAACACACCTGATTCAAATGATCAGGATGGTTATCAGGCTTCTGCAGAGCTTGATGATGAGCTGATCATGTGAATCAGGTGTGATGGAAGAGAGAAACATTTAAAACATGCAGGACTGTGGCCCTCGAGGGCTAAGACTGGACACCCCTAATCTAAAGTACTCAGGTAAATTCCACCATAAATATCATCGTAGGGTCTTAGTCTTACTATGTGTACATTCTGGGTTAATCTCTATAAATTAATAACAGTGTGGAGTCTAAGCCATGATACTAAATACAGTAATGTGACGTTGTTTTAACATATGAAGAGTTCATCAGCAACAACAGATTTAAAAAAAACCTTCAGGAAACCCACTTCTCCATCGTCCACCTGAGACAACATCAATCAAATTTAGGTTATCTCTATTGTTGTCATTTCTACTGAATCAGATCCACTCAGCTTCAGTTTGATTGATATTATCTCAAGCAAACAACCAAAAAAAATAGTTTCTGAAAAACTACAAAAAAAATTGAGTCATGTGTTTTTGTAAATGAACTCTTCATATTTACATTTTTAATCCTTAATATTGACATTAGTCAGTTAAAGTTGTATTTTATATAACTTATGTAGGATTTTATTACTTAATATTTATATTAAAAAGGTCAATTCACATAATAAATAACACTTTAATAATTAAATTAATCAATTTAATCTCTAATTATTATTATTGTAGAGCCATCCAAAAAAATATTTTTGAAATAATTTTTGTAGGGCTTTAATCCTTAATATTTTTAATTAATGTGGTAAATCCCCATCATTAACAAGGCTGTGGGGTCCTCACATCAACATTTTAACTTATTAAGTTAATATCTAAAAGCAGTTTGAGGCTGAGGGGCTGTCGCTTTAAATCTACTATAAAAATAAAAAACGGTGACTTGACACGACATGAGTGGATGCATGTGCAATAAACACACAGCACCGTACATGGTGCTGTGATGCAGCGCGTAGCCACAGAGTAAACAACCGGAGTGTTGTGATTTCCGAGCTTGCAGCGGGTCCGTGAAGGCGGCAGCAGCCAGCCCCTCCGAGCAGCGGCAGTCAGCTGCGTGTTTACTTGCTTTGTCAGCGGTGTCCCCGCAGCACTTATCTCATGTCCCTCACCTGCTGCTGATCAAACCTTGGACTTTTGTCTCCGCTGCGACTTATCGCCTCGTCAGGACTCTTATCAGCCGCCTCCTCTGCGTCTTGTCCGGCCTCTTTGCGGACCTTGATCGGGGGGCACGTCGGGTTCACAGGGCTTTTTTTTTTTTTTTTTTTTTTTTTTTTTTCTAGCTTAACAGAAAGATGACGTTAAAATCCAATAAAAACGAACCTGCTGTCATACTGGAGCCGGTGAGCAGCGTCCGGACAGCCCTCTCCGATCTCTACCTGGAGCAGCTCCTTCAAAACAAACCAAAGTCTGACAAGGTAGGACGGAGGCTTCATTCTAACCGGACCGTCAGGGGGCTTTGCAGACCCCCCCCAAGATCTGGGCTTTTGCTTCCGGGAAGCAGATGGTAGGACAGAGGCTGTGACCGCTGCTTGTTCCTTTTGACTAGATCTCTAAAAATAGAGGCGCGTTGTGTGTTCATGCTTGAGTTTGCAGCAGCTGAACGTGTGTTAAAACAAAGCCGTGTGGATGTTTGCTGCCTCTGCGCGGCTCCGGCAGCCTCCTGCAGACGTTGCATTGGCACTTTCACTTCTGCATTCTCGCCCCACACAAAAAAAAACTGCACATGAAAGTGTTTTTGGACAAGTTGACGAGTGCATCACGTGCGGTGAGAGTGTCTGATCATAAGACAATGATCCTGTAAGCCTTGTAAATGTCATTGTCCTGACCCCCACATGAGTCATGTGAACATGTCTAACTGTGGCAGGAAAGTCATCTTAAAGGGCCAGTGGTGTGCACTGTGCACTAATGTGGACTAATAGTTGGTGTTTGGAGCAGAGCGGTTTTAGTTTGGCCTCAGGAGTTCATGTCAGCAGGTTGTTTACCCCATCACACTGCACCGGGCTTCTCTTTAAACCTCTTTTACTTTTTAACCCTCAGGGCCGGATTATGTTGCGAAACTTCCAAGTGAGCAACACCTGCCTCAAAGTGGCTCAAAAACAACATTTGTGAAGGCGGGCCGGTGGTGAGACCTGTTAGGCCTATAGGACTTGGCAGCCGGTGAAAGCACAGAGGACTCTATTGTGCTGAAGCGTCTTGTCTGAATTTGAAAAGTCAGCAGCGAGCCACTGAGGAGGGAAGAGAGGAAACTCCTTTCCTGACATCAGCAGTTTGCAGTTCAATAGCCTTGAGTTAGGCTCTGGTGTTCTTCTGCTCGGCGCTGATTTGTGAAAGCAGTGTCTTTAAAGGGAGGTCACGTTGGCCTTTATCTCACGCTGCTGTGTGGAATATCTGTCACGGGCAATTTGTGGTGTCTTATGGACTCTTTATCTTGAGTTTAGGAACGGAGAGAGGAGCAGGAGAGCCTGTTGTGTCCTTTACATGTTCCAGCTCAGTGTAGTTTGCAGCCTGGCGTTAAGTTATGTTCCTCTGGAAACCTACGACAAGCACTTCAGGTTGAACAGCTATGCACTGGCCTGAATACACTGTAAAAGCAGTTTTAAACTTTTTTTTCTTTAACTGTTGTTCTACACATTTACCCCATTATATTAAAAACACAGATAACTAGTATAATCACACATTAAAGCATTAATTTACATGTTAACCTTAAAAAAAAAGCCAAAACTGTAAATAAAATGACAACATTTGACTTTATTATGGCACCAATTTTTATTCTAATTAAATTACCCCCAAAAAATTAATATTTAACAGACGTTTGCCGTCATGTGAAATAGTAAATAATTGTTTTTAGCATTTTTATTATTATTACAGGCTAAAACTGTACATAATGTCCACATCAAGGATCTGTATTTTTACAAATAGTAATATTTATTTATATTTAGCAGTTTCCCTGAGGTTTTGTACCGAAGGGATCAATAAAGTTTTATTTTAATTCTATTTTCTTTTATAGTGTGCGACCATAAAATTACATTAAATTAAATTAGCCAAAAGTGTGATTATTTTTACAGATATTTGCAATTATTCTCATTTTATTTATTTATTTTTTAAGTTTTTAATGTTATAAAATTCCACTTTTTTAACACATTTTTCCTGCCACGCCTCATTTTTATTTTTTTCTACAGCGTGTTCTAACTCATTCAAACTTCTAAAACTCGTTATTTTCACCACATTCATCACTGTCACTGCTTCGGGCTTGAAACAACACAAAAACGTCCAAATCCCAGGACTCCTACAAGTTCAGGCAGGACGGCCTTCGAGGAACAGAGGACTGAAGGCTCCAACATCAGCAGACCTTCTGGCTGTTTCTCGATCATTCGTCTAAACTCTCGCAGCTTGTTTTCTCAGAAACTGCAGCTGTTAAAGGAGTTTTGTTTTTTGGTTGTTGTCAGCCTGTTAGCTGCACTGTGAGTCCCACAGAGGTCAGATATTGATCTCCTACTGTGTTTCTTCAAGAAATCAATGGGAGACAAAGGCGACGCGCCCTAAATGCTGCACCGGGGGGAAGGATTAATAATTTATATCCATTGATTTAAAAGGCAAATCATCTCCAAGGGAAAGTCATATTCAGTCAGGTGTTGTATGCAGGAAAGCAAATACGACAACAAACGTCTCAGTCACTTTCTGTTTGATCTACTTCAGCCAAACCCACCCAGAGCAGAGACGTCCTGCTCTCAAAGACGCTCCCCTCTTCCCTTGAATGCATTCGGCCAGACGTTTGTTCGTCCTGTTGCTTCTCCACGCCCAAAGCCGGCATTCAAGTTTACAAAAGGACTTCCTGACTCCACTTACTGCTGCGTGGTCCACCAGTAATTAGACCGCGGCGATAAAACAGACGAACACTTCTAATCAGGAGTTTATCTCCTCGCGCTGAGCGTTGGGGGCTGACGGAGCTCCCCGTGAATGAGGCGCGTTTAATTAAAAGGCCTTTCACTTCTGAGCCTGATCTAATCATCGAAACGCTTCAGAGGTACGACGCACTTGTGCTGCCTAACCTTTTCTTTGGACGGCTTCGGCTGCTGAAGCAGATTATTGCAGGGATGATGGCTGACATTCAGATTTAACCTTTTTAAGCTTCCTTCCTGCTCCCTCCTGAGGGTCAACACTTTGACGAGAAGGGGAAAAAGTCTCTGCCAGTGCTCTGAGGCAAACTTGTCGATATCGTGCCAACAGTTATTCCTGCCTGTAATGAGCCTTAGTGTCTCTAAATTGGGAAAGAAAACCAGAAATATTATACAATCGCCCTTGTGGTCCAATTTCTGTGCGTTTTTAACCAACTCTGGATTCAAAAAAATAAAGTTTTTAACATTAATTTTCCTCTAAGAATAAGAGAAACCAGCGTGTGGTGACTTTCAGTGCTGCACAAATTCTTTCCTCAGAAGCTGTAATTTCATCTGTTCATCACAGGACGCCGTCCCGGTACTCCTGGTGCTGGTAAATAACTATCACATTGCACAGACAAACAACTGTCGTGACTCCTGCATCCAGCCGTCTCCTGACTCACCGATGCAAAAATAGAAATGCAGCTTCCTAAATCGGGTTCCCACAGAGGCTGCCTGTGCCAAGAAATAACGTGCACGCTCACTGTATGCACGTTTATAGACATGTCAACCACTTCTGGACGTTGTTGTACAGGTGAGGCTGCAGGCAGGAGGAGGACGATAATGATATTTATTGGTTTATTGTAGTGCTGATGCTGGAAGACAGATAGTATAGTTTCGCTGAAGCAGCGCTGATGTGTCATTTTCATGCAGAAAATTTGTGCTGATGCAGACGATTGTGCGTCTGATGTCGGTTTAGTGACCAGTTTATAAACCCTGTGATACTGCTCCATGGAAAAGTACTTTTGAGGAGTCGGTGCAGGGTATCTTATCTTGTACCTCATACATTTAAAGTGATTCCCCAGCGGAGCTCTTTCTCATATAAAAATGTGTGGGTTTCTTCTCTATTTTGTTGCTGTAGAATATGAGAAACTTCATCTAAAGGCTGCTGAGGAGGTTTTCTTGCATTAATGCTTCTGTTCTGGGGCGATCACCTGATGACACTGCTGGTGTATCCATGACCACACAGGCCAGATGACTGGACGAGGTTAATGAATCGTTATAACGCCGGGTTAATTTTCAACCTCGAACATATGTTGAAACTGCAAATGAAACGTAGCTGTTGGCACACATGAGCAGAAAGCGTCCGCCGCAGTTATTGGAAATACGACCGAGATAATGATCCCGATGTGAACAAGACGAACTGAGCAGTGAATTAAATTACTCGCATAATGAGAGGTTTAGACTCGGTTATGGTAATTTTGTGCAAAGTCGATTCTGCTTTGTGTGTTAAGTGAAATAATAAAGTTTTTTTTCTCTTTCTCTATTCCAGCAGGCGGCTATGCAAACCTATGAGAATAAAGGAGCCGAGGTTTACACCAATGGTAGTGCTCGACTCATGAACGGCACAGAGCTGACCAGGATGAAGGAAGTAGCGTTTGAAAAGAACCCCTCTGAGCCAATGGTACATCATCTGCCTCTAAATGCGCACAAGTGTTGTGTTTTTAAACCTGAACCGCTGATCGACTCTGTTCTCTTTCTGCAGGGCGTCACTCTGAAAGTGAACGACAAACAACGGTGCACAGTGGCCAGAATACTGCACGGGGGGATGATCCACAGACAAGGTAATTAATCGCACATTGATCTGAATGTTAGTGTGCAGAACATTTCATCCCAACCACAGCCGACCTGTCTCATATGTACAAGGAAGTGTACTAGAGGACTCCTATCAGGGACTGTAGGATAAGAGGTGTTGCCCAATGCAGATACCGTGTTGCTGTAGCTTTTTAGCAGCTCCAGGATGGAGTTTAGCTGCAGAGTAATGCTTCCACAGTAATGGTGGTAACAGAGAGGTACTGTCAGGTGTGATACTAACTAGGAATGAAATCCCAGAGTGACGCATCCAAATGACAAATCTGATGAATATTTCATGACCACAGCTCCTCAAGAGTAGGAATGAAGGGTGAGGTCTAGGGCTGAGCAATTTAGGAATTCTGACAGATTGATCTGTGATCTTGTTTTGTAACGTCAAGCTTTGGTTTAGTAGACATTGAGTAACAGATTTAAAACATGTAATGGGGCATTATCACATTAGATGCCATCAACAGCACGTGTCACACAAGTAGGATGCCGTAAATTTGTAAAAGGTATTGGCACAACCATGAGTCAGACGCGATGTACAATGTAAATGTTAAACTAAAGGCTGTGACGGGCACCTGGATAGCTCAGCAGGTAGGGCGGGCGACCCATGTACAGGGGCTATAATCCCAGACACAGCGGCTGCGGTTTGATTCCAGCTAGCAGCTTATTTGCTGCATGTCATTTCCCCACTCTCCTCCCCACATTTCTCTGTCTTCACTGTCAACTATCATTAAAAGGCGGAAAAGCCCAAAAAATATCTTTAAAAAAAGACTACAGCCTGAGATAAATGCAATGTTATAAATTGCAATCTCCGTTTTAAACTGAGGGCTGCTTGGTGGTTAGCACCGTCACCTCACGGCTAGAATATTGCGTCCCGGTTAGGACGTCCTGGATCTTTCTACGTGGAGTCTCCATGTTCTCCCCGTGCAGCGTGGGTTCTCTCCGGGTTCTCCAGCTTCCTCCCACAGTCCAGAAACATGCTGAGGTTAATTGGTGATTCTAAATTGTCTGTAGGTGTGAATGTGAGTGTGCTTGGTTGTCTGTCTCTAAGTGTAGCCCTGTGATAGACTGGTTACCTGTCCAGGTGAACCTGCCTTCACCCTGAGTCAGCTGGGATAGACTCCAGCCCCCCATGACCCTAGTGAGGATTAAGCGGTGTATAGATAATGGATGGATGTTCAGCCCTACTAGGGATGCTCATATTATAGTTTTTCGAGCCCTGTGAGCAGGTTCTGTATTACCATTCCCAACCAAACTAACTAACATTCCTCATTAAAACAGGAATCAATCTAATCATACTGACATCGAATCATGTATATTCTATTAATTAATATATTAAACTTTGAAAGCGAGCAGTTAATTAGTAGTGGTTCACACAAAAACACCTCAAATGTCTAAATTGAGCTGCACAAGATGATATGAAACAGTATAATCTGTGTTACCTATCCAATATGTAATATATAATCCACATTAGAACTGTAATTATATTAGAAACTGATCTAGAACACACATATCTGGATTCACTCCATCTCCTTTTCTGTTCAGGGTCTTTACACGAAGGCGATGAAATAGCAGAAATCAACGGCAAAAGTGTGACGAACCAAACTGTGGATCAGCTACAGAAGATTCTGGTGAGTTGATGCCTCATACGCTGCTTTTTTTATTTTCATTTCACTAACGTGACTAACTACATGTAAAAACTGTGTTGCGTTCGCTCGCAGAAAGAAACCAACGGAGTCGTCACAATGAAGATCATCCCCAACGTGCAGAGCCGGTCCCGAGCCTGTGAGGTAACAACGCGACCCGTAGAACCTGCACAGCTTTGGTCTTGTGGTGCTCGTCACTTTGGTTCTGACTAAGCTTTGTGTTACATTTTGAAATTTGCATGAGAAAACCAACTTTCTATTCTGATTCAGAGTACAAAGATGAGTTTGATTACTTCTCTTCCTTTTTTTTTTTCTTCTTCCTTAACTTGTTTGAAATGGTTTTTGTTTAGGTGATTCTTCTCTTAGTCAGTGAACAACTCAGGTGACTATGAAATTAGTTCAAAATTAAAGAACAGCACTCACATTAGCTTCTGCTAGTTGGACTTGAAACGCTCTGGTAGTGTTTCATTCTGCCATCTACTGGCCACAACCTGTTTCTCCGGCAGCTGTATAAAAATGGCTGCTCGTAGTAGAATAACAACAACCGTAGAGTCGTCTGTGGCGGTGCATTAATATAGAAGAGCTTAACGTTAACGACCACATTAAACAATCTATTTTTATTCTGCGATTCTCTGCTGTGGTCAGTGATGGCAATCTACTTTACAGCTTCTAGTCCATTAACGTGTAGGCTTAGTTAATCCGCTTTGCATACAATGAACATCGTTTCTGGTGACCCGGACCGCTCCAGTGGTCTCACTTCTCTGTTTCGTCTGTGGACGCTGGAGCGTCTTGAGGGGAAACCACAGATGTTCATGAACTCTACTAACAGTAGTAATAACTCATCCTGAGGAGAATTTACATGGGCTCCTGCTGTGATCTTTGACAGCTTCGTCACACACATGAGGAGGAACAATTCTAACCTGTTGCACATATAAATAGTATTCTAGCACAAGAAAGACATCAGCTAGTAGTCGACACAAGTTTTAAATTTGAACTGAGCTGTCCAAGATCATATCATGAAGTCGTATCTTCTGCTTAAGGGTGAATTTCATGATTAACATCAGCAGACTTCAAATCCATGTGTTCAACCACGAGTGTTTATTCTCTTTATGCTTATGTACTGCAGGGTGTAAATGTTCAGCAAATAGTTGGTAGCTTGTGTCCCCATCACAGCTTTGTGTCGTGCAGGCGCCAGCTGGCAAACGGCTTCGTTGAAATGTTTAAGACAAAACAAAATATGGCATGTTTTAGTTCAAGGTTGGAGAGTGAAGTATTTCAAATGTCTCAGATGAATGACGCAGCTGGCGTAGCTGGAAGGGATTTATCAGAACAGATTGAAAATGTCTTCAAAGATTTCCGAGAAACTGCAGGAATTATTGTTTATTTATTAAAGTCAGGGTTAGCGGAAAGTTTGTGCTCAGCAGCAACAAATATGTGGATGTTAGGAGCTGTATTCAGGCTGATCTATAGTAGGTGACGGGAGATTGTTGAACACGGTGATAAGCTCTACAGACTGTAACGTCTATTTACAAATACCAGTTATTGTCCTTCCCGAGGGAGTTCATCCAACGTGCTCTTGATCCGCAGATGTACATGAGGGCCCAGTTTGACTACGACCCGGCCAAGGACGACCTCATCCCGTGCAAAGAAGCCGGTCTGAAGTTCCAAAACGGCGACATCATTCAGATCATCAACAAGCAGGATCCCAACTGGTGGCAGGGCAGAGTGGAGAGCAACGCCGCCGACTTCGCTGGACTGATACCTTCACCGGAGCTCCAAGAATGGTGACCGGCTCGTTCGTGTGGAGCATTTACGATACGATACACTAAATATGACAGTCAGCTACATTCAAGTACCGTTATTTAAAGGTTTAACACAACATATTACAAGACTTAATACTGTACAACAACCCATCAGACAAACAACTGCATGACTTAGAACAACAGCCTAAAGACAATGTCGAGCACCGTCATCCATCCCAGCGAGGTTACTTTCAGGGCTGTGGTCCCCATGGCTCCAACTCTGACCTTATTGTTTAACAGATTAATAGAAGAAGGCGCGACGACTAATCCTGCAGAACGTAATTAAAGACTTAAGAACTGCACCGAATGTTCTCAACTTAACCCGAACGTCTTGTTTTCCCTGCAGGAGGGTGGCCAGTAAAAGCAAGGCCAGGGAGGGCAGCCAGTCCTGCAGCCCGTTCGGGAAGAAGAAGAAGTGCAAAGACAAGTACCTGGCTAAGCACAGCTCCAGTGAGTAGAACACTGATTCCTGCACTTTCGCATCACTCGAGTAGGATTTTATCTAAAACAAAATCCTTCCTTTTGCAGTTTTTGACCAGCTGGATGTGATTTCGTACGAGGAAGTTGTTCAGCTCCCTGCTTTTAAAAGGAAAACACTGGTGCTTATCGGTGAGCTCAAAACAGAACTCTAATGCTCTATGCTTGACTTTTACACTCATGTGTAACCAAACCTGATGACAGCATCGGTTGTTTAACTTCACTGGTTATCTGCAATCAAGTTAATGTTTAATCACTGTGTCCTTTAAATGTCCTATTTTTAAAACATCTGCTGCTTTTAGGTGCACCTGGTGTGGGAAGGAGCCACATCAAAAATTCCCTGTTGACAAAATACCCAGAGAAGTTTTCCTACCCTGCACCACGTAAGTAGACCAACAGTCTGTTCTTCCCGTGCAGTTTGACAAGCTACCCACGGGCTAATTGTGAAACTCTTAATCTGCACAGACACCACCAGACCCCAGCGTAAGGACGAGGAGAACGGTCAGGAATATTACTTCATCTCCAACGAAGCCATGACCAAGAGCATCTCCGGGAACGAGCTGCTGGAGTACGGCAGCTTCCAGGGATTTATGTTTGGCACCAAAATCGAAACCATCCAGAAGATCCACGAGCAGGGAAAGATCTCTCTGCTGGACGTAGAACCACAGGTTAGCGGTCACACATGACATTAGAGCAACAGGTGTGGTTGAAATAAATCTGTTGTTCTAGTTCAGCATTACCCAGAGTCACACAGAGTCAATGAGTGTTTTAATGCCTCTTTTAGCGATTTGAAAGTGTTAGAATGGTGTTGTTGACCTGCATGAACTAAGGAACAGCTTCACTCCAAGGTTGGAAGATGTTCTTCCAGTGTTCACCTTATACCCATGACGACGTTACCAGTTATAGCTACTCTTCTAATGGTTAAAAGCAGTTTTTTAGTTAATCAGAAGTGCATTGTGGAAATAATATTTGGATTATTTGAAGTACTTTCCCACTTTGAGGAAGTAAAAGGTTGTATTTCAGTAATTTCCCAGGCCTGGGATAAATAAAGTATTATTCTATTCTATATTTTCCTACAATGAGTTACGATTATTTCCAGTATAACCTGGATAGCAAATATATTTGCTCTATGTTTGTCTCGATGGAATTAAGAAAACAAATCACCCAGAATTTGACTAATAAAGGCATTTGTTTAAAATCAGTGATGCACTCCTGATAGGTGAAAGTGGGTTAACAAAACACACACACACACACACACACTAATATATATCATTTTTGACAGCAAAATGTTATTGGTGTGCACAAAACGAGGCAGCAGTTTGAGGACAAATCCAAAATAAATGAGTCACATCCTCAGTATAAAAACATTTTCATGTAAAAACTCGTTTGTCTTGCTGGGAGGATGCTGTTAAACATGATCCTTCTACAGGATGTTTCCCACTATTTAATCGATCTCACGCTTCTTGCAGACCTTGAAACTCTTGCGGACTGCTGATTTTGCACCTCTGGTGGTGTTCATCGCCCCGACCAACACGGCTCCCCAGGTGCTACATCTTCATCTGCTGCTTTAAGTGCTTTTAAAACACCAAACTCCTTCGTCTGCACACTGCTAACCTCCCGTGTCCTCTCTCCTAGACGGAAAACCTGCAGATGATCCAGAAGGAGTCTGACGCCATTTTGACCACATATAGACACTTCTTTGATGTGGTTCTCGTCAACAACGACGTGGATGAAAGTGTTAAAGGTGTGGAGGAGGCCATAGAGCGCGCCACCTCCACCCCACAGTGGGTGCCTGTATCATGGGTGTACTGAGAGATGTCTGACACCAGTATGATACCGTTTGTTTTTTTTCTCTTGGAAAGCAGTGCAATATCACTCTTTACACGAAACCTCTGAGTTAGCCATGTCCCAGATATGTGTGTGTGGGTTTTATTTTTCAGTCACTGTTAATTGTCACAGAGATTTTCTGCACAAATGCATCCAAAAAAACCAACAAGCAATATGTTGAAAGCTTTATTTCAGACAGTCCAGAACCTCACCAGGGATGTTTCATCACGTGGTTGTTTAGACATTTGTGCTTGAGGCTTTTTGAAGGGTTAAGTTTTGGTGCCGCTCACGTTTGCGATTGTTGGAATGTTTAGAAAATGCAAAACAGGACCACAACTGTGAATGAAATCCACTTTTTTTTTGAAAAACGTTGATTCTGAATTCTGTTTTCTCCGCTCTCGTTAGATTGTCCCATGAAATAGAGATTCTGTTGTGTTCATGCAGTGTGTGCGTAACATCGATGACGTCCTCTACACGAACCCTTTTAATGTTGACAACCTCGCGTGTCTCCTTTTATCAAAATTGTATACCTCATGGGGTACTGTAAAGGCACTTTCAAACAAAGAAATAAATTTCCCAGCTCTGTTACAACGGCCTCTGTTTTTAAAGTATGTGTTCTCAGCATTGTTAATGAGAAGCCAGATACAAGACGACAGACCTAAATCTGTATGAAGGAGACGGAATCGGGAGTGACAAGCGGCTAATGTTTGGACTGGCTCCGATCTGAACTGGGGACTCGCTGCTCCGCCCTGAAGGAGTTCTTATGGCAGTTTTTTGTCAGCAGGAAATCTCTTAAATTTGAAGAAATTAGTTCAACAAGATGTGCATCAGACAGGAGGACACATGGCAGAGTCTCTGATGAGCAAATCCAAGAGGATGTAGTGAAATAATTAGTCTTTTATGCTTTAAGTAATGTCTTCTGCAGAATATTCCACCTTTCAAATCTCTCCCACAACATTTTAGACTCGGACTCGGCGGCAGAAGCATTGTGGGGGCAGAGGGCTCATGTCTGCCTGAATTTTTCAGAAGGCATCATGGCGGCTCAAGGCTGTGATCAATTATAGATCAAGACGTTCCTGCCCGGGCAGGTAATGTACCTGTATCTCCCACATTGCAATTCCTCCCTCATCCACATAGTTACGGGTTGTACATGACGATGATCACAGCTGACATCCAGTTCTAAAGGCATCATCCATGTAAAACATATATGAGAGTGTTGGACAAGGTTAGTAGTTTACTGCTAACTTAACATTAAAGCTCAATAATAAAACAAACACTAGAAGCAAAGACGTCTCAGAATAACTCAACATTTTAGGGTTCACAAATCCCAAATGTGGTTAGCATTTATGATTATGCCAATATTTTCTGAAGCAGTTTACACATTTATTAAAAGAGAATTAATTAAATTATGACAGAAATACAGAAATAAAGACAAAGCTCATTTAGCACAAGCATATATTTTCTAAATAACTTTTGAAAATTAAACAGAAATTGTGCAATAAGTGTGTCAATGCAATTTAAAGACGTGATTTCTGTTTTCAGCACCACAAACGCTACTCAGGATTCTGCAGATATCACACATAAACAAGTCAAACAATCAGCTCTGTCTGCTCGTAAGATCATAAAATGTGTGTGACGTAACATCATAACTGAGGTCATCAGGTTTAAGGGGACATAAAGCAGCATGTTTGTACTTTCAGGGCACTTGGGCAGTGAAACAAAGCTGTCCTCTGGTGCCACCATGTGGTCGAGTCTGGACAACCACGGCTACTCTGAGAATGTGTTGCAAAAGCTAAGAAGGCGGTTAGTCAGCTCTGCACCCATCCAGCAACATGTGCAGGAAATTATTGAAATTGTCATGAAGCCATATATCTAGTGGAGAAAATGGAGGATTAAATAAAGTGAATGTAAGAAAATGAAGATGCTGTTATGAGTCAAAGAGACGCCACGTTTCTGAAAAATGGAAAACATTTTTTATTTTTAATTTTAATTGCAGCTCTGCCTCTTTGAAGGCTGAGGCTTTATCCCAGTTACTTGTTTAATAATAACTAAATAGATTAAGGGTAGAGTTTGATTCACATTTTATGAACCTTAAATACAAGCCGAGAAAAAACATTTAGAATAATTAATGTTTTTCTTTTACCAACATGGCAAAGCCTCTTTTAATAACCCAACATTCAGCCGCTGAGTTTCACTGCTGATTTTAATGTTTGTTAAAATCACTGTTGGGTTTTTTTTAGATATAAAAAAGACCTGACGAGAGAGAAACCCTGAGGATAATAATGAACTAAGTTTATCCAGAAAACTTTTCTTTTTTCTTTTGTTCCAGTCTGTAATGTTTTCATCTTGATTTAATAACATAAAGCAAAATGAATGCAAAAATAACACTGTCATATATCACTGATAAGCAGTAGATGTATTTGTTATTTAATCAATTTCTAACCACATGTTGATAAAGGATGTTAATGCAGCAAATGTAGGACCATTTGAATTCTACAGTTCAAGCAGCTGCTCTATAAAACATCTGACATGTTTTCAGTCTGTGCAGTTTTACTCACTACAAGCTGAACCAACTGATGCCCCGTGCGGGTCAAGTCAGGTTTAGTGGGTTAGACATGTAACTGGATTTAGCCTGGCAAAGGATTCGTTCAGCGTTAATCAGCCGCCAGACAACATGGATTTACAAACCAACCGTGATTATAATGTAATATTTTCCATGAGGCTCATCAAACATCTCAGATCTGCTGCACCTTCATATTTATTCCTGTTAAAGATGTTTTTTTTTTAAAAAACCAGCCACAGATAAAACTGCTCCAGATAACTGATTAGGTCCCGTAGCAGGTGGCAGCTGCTTCCATAATTTTTGACTTAATGGTGCAGTTACAACCGATTCTGCCTCATTATCGTGTTTTACTTTCACTTCTTTGCTGGCAGCGTCTCTGAAGACAATAAATTCAGGGCAGCGAGCTGGAGCTCCACAGGGTGAAATGGAAACTGACAGTAATTCAGCTGAGAGCTTTTAAGAAACAAACACTACATGATGTTTAAATAGATTTCTTTATTGGCTTGTTTTTATTGGCTGGCTGGTTCCAACTTCCTCAAAAACTGTAAGTCTTAGTGATGCCATGTTGTCTAGTTCTGATTGGACAGACTAGCTGCCTTTAGTTTTGAAGAAACAAACACTAATCCGTATGTGTATGCATTTATTTATTTATTGGCTTATTTTATTGTAGCCTGGCCAGATTGACTTTCTCACAGACGATGCTATGTTGACGAGTTCTGGAAAAATAATTATACACTCAATTTGAAAAGAAATCACCTTTTTAAAAGAAAAAATTCAAAGCCAATAATTGTGATTTAAATACTTTTATTAGAAGGAGGGTCTTGCTATTTATTCTTTTGATTTCTTATGAGTTGTAGTTTTTGTTTTGCTTTGCCCTCAAGAAAGGAAATTCCCCAGGTTGTCACCATTCTCAAAAATCATTACATCATTACCCTTTTTCTTTTTTTTTTCAGCTACATTTTTGACTGTGTCCCCTGCCTTCACCCTGAGTCAGCTGGAATAGACTCCAGCCCCCCACGACCCTAGTGAGGATTAAGTGGTGTATAGATGATGGATGGATGTACAGTGCTAGAAGGTTTGTGCTTCCAGGTCTTTTGCCATGTCTTTTAGTTCTGATTGGACAAACCATCCCCAGCATCAAGGTGATCAAGGTCAGGTTAATTAAACACTACTCAATAGTTAACCCTATTCAGGACTTTTGGGGTCTTTTGGTTTGAGGTGACAGGTATTGTTTAAGATTTTTTATTGTTTTTTTTAATATAAAAAGAGGAACATTTGTCATGCATTTGGAACCAAAAATGTGTTCAACACAGTATAAAAGTCTATAATGAATACCAACAAATATTTTGCGCTTCATTTTTCTTGGTGCTGCTGGTTAGCACTGTTGCCTCGCAGCTAGAAGGTCGCCAGTTCGCATCCCAGTGAGGACACCCGGGATCTTTCTGCGTGGAGTCTCCATGTTCTCCCTGTGCAGCGTGGGTTCTCTCTGGGTTCTCCAGCTTCATCCAAAAACACGTTGAGGTTAATTGGTGATTGTAAATTGTCCGTAGGTGTGAATGTGAGTGTGCTTGGTTGTCTGTCTCTAAGTGTAGCCCTGTGATAGACTGGTTACCTGTCCAGGTGAACCTGCCTTCACCCTGAGTCAGCTGGGATAGACTCCGCCCCCCATGACCCTAGTGAGGATTAAAGTGTAGAGATGATGGATGGATGGATGGATGTTGTTTCTTGAGGTCCAATGAACCCTGAAAAACCTTCTTCATATGGCAACATGAAAGTCCTGAGTAGGGTTAAGGTCCACAGTGAAAACCAAATTAAAATAATCAAAAACACACTTTGTTAATCTGCATTTTTAGGAGATAAAGACAAAAAAGCAAAAACTACAACTGAAATTTTTTATATTTAACCAATAACAATGCTGTGTTAGAATCATGTTTATTAAGTCTTTTTTTTTTTTTTTTTTTTTTAAAGAATAAAAATGAAAAAACAGAGATATGTTTCACTTAAATTGGGGAACTCTGGGACACTCAGGAAGCAGGAACACTCCTCAGGTCTCCAGGGGTCAAGCTTGACAAACACAGAGAGGCTGTCCTCACATTAATTACACCCACACACTTCATAACACCTTATGCAATGCAGATAAATAGCAGGCTGGGGTAATACATAGCGAAGCCTTGTTGCTCAGACAAAAGCCTGTGAAACATCTTCCAGGTATCTCCTCCACATCCATACATCCACCGTGGATGATGGCAGCTCCCACTCAGCCACACCCCCTTTCCAGGAACGCCATTTTGTTGACATACAGACTTGCAATCAAAATAAGCTCCTTTTGAAGCGCTTTAAAGCCACGCGGGGCCGCGACATGTCATGTATGTGCAGAAAACACGCGTGGACACCCCCCACGGTAACACCCAAATAAAACAACCCAGCGCTGTCCCCGAACTTTCGAGCCGCCGCGGTTCCAGCCTCCCAGTTCACCCATTTCAACATGAAAGTGGCTGGATTGACGTCAGCAGCCATCTTTGAGCAGCTAATCCGGGCTGTTTATTACACCTTCATCCGCGCTCGGGCTCCAGTAGCAGCCTGCAGGTGCCCGCAGACAGACACAGGAGGGAAGGAAGGAAGGAAGGAAAGAAGGAAGGGTGAAATAAAGGAATAAAGGAGAAAAAAGAGAGGTTCGGCGGTGAAGGGGACACGACAGAAAGCAGCAGCGCTCCTCCTCGGCTATATAGGCAGAGAGACGCCACAATAAGCAAGCAAAGGCTGCCAGAGGGTAGAGAGGAGCGCACAGGCAATCCACGTCCATCTGCCAGCCACTTAGGACCGCACCGCGTTCACAGTCCGGATTTCGGCACAGCTGTCCCGCTAATACTACCAGGAAAATGTAAGTAGTTTTAAGGCTCTTTTTATTTTTTTTTATAAACAAACAAAAAAATAATAATCCTATTTATTAATAAACTCCATCCTCACGACTGACGCTGGCAGCCTGTAGGGCCACAGAGCTCCATTAAAACCCTGTTTTCTTAATCATCGCTTTAAATGCTGTATTTAAATCCACAGCTGTGGTAATGTGACCCAAACGTGAAGGCTAACGCGTCGGCCTAACCTTGGAGCAGACGGAGGGTTTATCCCCTTGTTAAACATTATTAGCCGTGTTTTTTTATTTTATTATTTTATTATTTACACGGTGAACCAGCTCCATGTTTTTCTCTCTCTCGTATATATATTTTTCCTCCTGTCGACTGTTGGCTCTCACTCCAACCAGCACGCACGCATTTTATTTCCAGTTCGGACTGGTTTGATTTGAAAAAAAGGGACACCGTGTGTGTGATTTCCCACAGGCTAATTAAAAAAAAAAAAAAGAAAGAAAAGGAAAAACATCGTGTCCTTATGATTTATTTCTCCTCCTCCTCTCTGGATATCTTTTAATGTAACCGCAGGTGACGATGAGGCTAATTCTAGGAGCAGCAAGGACATGACGGCCCCGGTGGCCGCCGGGCCGGCGTCCTGCTCCGAGCCTGTTGAACGACGATATTCGACGACACAGCGCTCAAATGGCGCTTCAGACGACGGTATGATTAGCTGCCGTGAACGAGGCTTAAGGCCTGGTTTGTATTTGCAACCTCCAGCGGGGGGTGGGGATAGCCGAGCCTCCTACTGTAATGTCGTCGATTGTCGTGCGAGGGCGGACAGCTGCATGTCTCACCACGATAGAGGCTCTTTTTTTTAATTTATTTTTTTAATAAATAACCCCCCCTTTAAATTGTTTATTCCCCTTGTCCACACAGACACATAAAGGCCAAGGGGGGAGGCAGCCCTCCTCTGCCAACATGTCACTCAACAGGAGGCATCACGCCTGTTCAGGTTTCCTCTGGAGGCCCCCAAGTTCGATTTAAGGCCACATTTGGTTCTGAGTTGTGCATCCAAGGAGCCTCCCCGCCCTCAGTGTGGCAGGCTGTAGGTGTATTTACAGGCCTGAGCCGGGGGTGTTTTGCAGGACATGTAGACCTGGCGTGTGAGGAGGAGGGGGGGACACACACGGTCATACATGAAAGTCATGCGTGTTGGATCCAGCAGAGCTTCAAGACTCGGGGACAGTTTCAGGTCTGGGCTGCTGTGGCGCTGTCCGGTGCTGAAATGTCGCTCTCCAAGTGCTGGAATCAGACAGCCATGCTTTTCCATGACAGTGGCCACCCAAACAGAAATCCATTAGAGCGAGCCGCTCATTTGATTTTCCATTTGTGTTTATTTGTTTCTCTTCTTGGTAGTCGGCTGAAGTCGATACCAAAATTGTATAATCGTATGCTATCTATCTATCTTTAAACTCCTCCTCATTTCTTTGGGGACCCCCTGGAAAACCTTAAATAGACCCGTCAACGTTGCCCTCTTTGGAAACCACAGGGCAATACTATTTTTACGAGACGAGTCTTGAAAGAAGGTTGAATATATTTAGCTTTCATAACAAGTTAGCAGTGGACTGTGGAGACGTGAAGCCTCACAGCATGTTAGCTTAGCTGCTTCTGTCACAGAGAGGTTTCCTTTTGGGTGTCTTTTTCCCATCGTGGTGTGGAAACCGGTATGGACAAATCCATCAGCAGGTAGAGCTAGTCACGTGTTAGCGCCTATGATAGTGATTACAACAGTCACATTAAGAAAAGGAGCAACTATCAGGCAAACATCCAAAGATTTGGTTCAGTTTATCAATTAAAATGAGAGGTTCTGTACAGCAGCCGATCCACCCGGTTGCTTCGAACGCAGCCAGCGGTTTTCACAGGAGGATGAAGCTGGCGAGAAACGCCGCGCTCACAACTCTTCCGGCGGTGATGACAGCGTGAACACCTTCGTGGTGATAAAAGACACTGAAAGCAATTACACAGAGAGTTAGGCGTTGGTGTGGCAGCTCTGGAGGAGCTTGTCTACGTCTTTGAAGACACATAATAGTTATGTAACATTATATGTACCATCAGTGTTAGCCTTGAGGGTTTTGTTCTGCCCTTCTCTGTCAGGCCTGATTGGCACCTGATAGGGACCACCGGCGCCATCAAGCTATTCCAAAGGATTTGTTGCTGTTAGAGGATTAGTAGTGTGCGAGCGTGCAAAGGTGACCTTTATACAGAGTTTTGTCTCACACTAGTGGAGCAGCGTGGCTACAACTAAAGCATGTCTGTCACATGATGATACAGCCGTAGCTTTATCACAGAGGGCTGCTTTGTGATTGTTGATGCAATTTAAAATAGCAATAAAGCATTGTATGATTACTCCACTACTACTCACTGCTTTAAGCCTTTTAATGATTTGTTTTTGTTGCATGCTGCTACAGGAAGGTGCAGATGGTCACATATTATTATTATTATTACTGCCTGATATGATCACATCTTACCGTGTGTGAAACCGTGTTCATTTTTGTGTTATTTATGTTCTTGCTTTGTGCGCCTCGGTGGTGATGTGCAGCCTTAAAGAGCTCGCATTGTGCCCCCGTTTCTTTAGTGCGTTACATAGCCGCTCTTTTGTGCACTTGAAAGGTCTGCAAACGCACAAAGCCCAAAATCCACGCCAAAGGGAGCTCCTTCCTCTCACAGGAAACACTTCTCCCCACCTGCACGAGGATCTTGGTTTCAAAGTGCTTCATCCGTTTCTCGCGTACATCGCCACATTTGTGCGACGCCTGCCGAGCACGGCCGGTCGGGCACGCCCTCAGACAAAGAATGAGCAGCTGTCATGATTATTTCCTCGCTGAAGCTGTGTTTTGCTGAAGCTACATCCATGTAGATGTGGAGTAACCGTACCTGCCTCGCTTTTATCGGGCGAGCTGACCAATCGGAGCGGGCTTCATTATCAGGAGGGGGGTTTAAAGAGGCAGCGTGAGAAAAATGATGTGTTTTAAAGCATGTTCTAGTGGACCACAAGAATACAACCTGTAGACCTGTAGTTGCGCATAACATGAGCTCTTTAAATGTTCTTTATCTTCAGGTTAGATGATTTAGTTTAGTAGCACAAAAACAAAACGCTTGTATCAGCAGTAGTGAAGAAAAGGCTAGTTGGAAATAGAGATAATAGACGTTTGGTACCAACAAGGACAAATTCTAGTCGTTGCCTAAGTGAAAATGAAACTGAAATATTGTTTAAGAAGTTCTTTATGTAAGCCTACAGTCTAGTGCACCTTAGAACAAACTATATTCTGGATTTTTGTTATTTTTTTCAAAAAGTACAGGCTGTTAGAGACTCCGAGGAACATTACTGATTGTTTAACGAGGTTGTGGCGAAGCTGTTAATTGCTTTCACTGTGACCTTAACTATCTTTCATATATGAATTACACGACCAGCAGTAGATGTTGACAGAACAGAAGTAGCTAACCCAATTCATGAAACGATTGTACATATATTTATTTTATATCTCTTGTGTATTTGCTTCCCTCGCGGCAGAGAGCAGAGGTTACTAGTCCATGTTAACGTGAAGGCAGGCAGCTCTCTTTTTTCAGCGCTTAAACTCGTCGTCTCTCGATGCAGCCATTGTCTGTGCACAGAGCACCCAAAAGAATAGGTCTATGTAGGCCACGAGACAACACAGCATGACAAATCAAGTTGACTTTTGGGAGCCCTGGTTAGTTCCTCTTGTGATAAAGGTTAACTCTATCATCACATAGTCCATATTTTACATGTATTATAACAGGAGTAGGTCCTGTGTAGCCGATGAATCATCCAAATTAGACCACATCCTTAAATATTAATACAGATATGTGCACTTTTCCATCCCTTGGACACACCTGCTGTGGCAGTAGTGTCTCAGTCACACAGTTGAAAAGAAGATCCTATATTTCCCAGATCGTATGTCCTTCTGCTTAACCTTTAACATGTCATATGCTAACATTTATGTAACGTTGTGCAGTGTAGGACCAGTACAGGTTGCTCTGTTGTTCACTGATGTTGTCACTTTTATTTATTGGACTCAGGCAGAATTAGACACACCAGTGATTTTGCACATTAAAATTAATCTAATTTCCTTCATCAGCAAACCTAAAATGGGCCCTAATGGCAAATTATTCTGATTTTTTTCTCTCTTTTTTTTCAAGTAAAACCTGCATTTTTGTGAACGGGGAACATCGGTCATTCCTGTGTGTGTTGTTATGTAATTTATATTGCTTCAGATCTTCTGATGTACAGTAACATCAGTGGGATTTCATTGGATGTGCTTTATATAGATTTGTTTTGAATTTATTCTCCAGGTCTGCCCCAGCCGGAGCTCCTGCACCAGAGGGAGGGAATCAGCCCCCCAACCTCACCAGCAACCGCCGTCTGCAGCAGACACAGGCACAAGTGGATGAGGTGAGTATCCTGCAAACACATGTAGATGCTTGGCCCCATTATGCTAACGAACTATCCTCTGCTTTCTCACACGCTATAGAAAGTTAACATACAAATATAAATCATTAACAATTAGAAATGGGTTAATCGTTTATGTAACTGTGGTTAGATGTGACAATGAACGAGCAGCTTTTAAGCTAGCAGTCCTGCTCCGTCCTGTCAAACCCTGTCACCCAGTTATCCCGTCTCCATAACTGATTACACGACACTGTCTCTCCCCAGGTGGTGGATATCATGCGTGTAAACGTGGATAAGGTTCTGGAGCGTGATCAGAAGCTGTCAGAACTGGACGACAGGGCCGATGCCCTGCAGGCTGGAGCCTCTCAGTTTGAGACCAGTGCTGCAAAACTGAAGAATAAATACTGGTGGAAAAATGCCAAGGTGAGGACACGATGCAGACACGCTTACCACAACAGCACACGTGTGTTTAATGTAAAAGAAAGAACACAGGAGCCACCAGGAATGTGTGGTCACCGTTGATTTGTGGCTTTGCGTTTGTGTGTCCTTGGTTGTTTTGAGGGAAGATATTTTGCATGTGTCACCTGCATCATCAGGGAGTTACACAACGGTGTGTTGCCTTAGGAAGCACCACATAGCAGCTTCACACTATGCTAAAGCTGAGATTATTCATAATGTGTGACAGAAATCTTGTCCTGACTATAAAAAACTACATGTATGTTGTTTTTCGCTGTTAAAAAATAATTTACTGAGTGTGTTTTTTTTAACAAACGACTGCTTCTCTAACGATTTTTTCTGGAAATCTGCTCCCCACAGATGATGATTATCCTGGGTGTGATATGCGTGATTGTCCTCATCGTCATTATTGGTAAGAACCCTCTTTGTGCACATAGATCCGACGCCGTTACCTCATTTGCAAAACCGTCCTTGTCAGTTCAGTAGCTGTTTAACTCTTGCTGACTCTCACGTCCTTCTCGATCTTCTTTCTGTTTGCAGTGTACTTCAGCACCTAAGAAGAGTTGCTCCTACCCCAGTCTGACCCCAACTTCCTTGCTACAGAAAAAAAACAAACAAAACCCTCAAATTGAAGACAAAATTAACCACAGATTAATTTATTATATATAAATATATATATATAAAAAGCTCCCCGATTAGCCTCGATATAACACCCCTAAACCCTTCAGGGCCCCATGGCTCCCCCACTTCCACCACCTTGCCTCTGGACCCCTGTCAATATTTGTCCTGTGAGTGTGTGGCCCTGTCTCCTTTCTGGGTACTCTTGGCTTTTCTAACCTGCCATACCGAGAACCAAACACTTGTGACGATGCAACAACAGAAAAGGAAACACCGATTGGCGATAATTGTTACATAACTGATATATATATAGTTCTTTGTAGAGTTTTATTCTGATATATATATACTGTTTTGTAGGTGTGCGTGCGTGTGCGTGCGTGTGCATTTTGTACTTTTTATTTTTTGTATTAATTTTACGTATGCTTCAGCGTTAACTACTGCCTATTAATCGGAAGTGTGTATCTTGCATGTGCTCATCATCCGTCCGTCCCCGGCTGATTCTCTCTTTTTGGTGTGTTTTTTTTTTTTTTGCACAGTGGAGTTCGTCTCCATCTAACTCCTGGAATTGATTTTCATGTGCGTTATCCACTGAGAAAGTCCAAAAATAATAAGAAGCCACAGAGCTAAAACTTGTGCGTTATCAAGTTACAGAAATTGGAGTTATTCCACCAACAGGTTACTCCTGGTTCAACTTTCTCTAACTTGATACCATCCAACAAAAACAAAAAAAAAACAAGTCTTAGCTTCTTTGATGGCTTTTTGAGAGAGTTATTGCTCACTGATCCTGATCAAAACACACAAATAATGCATGAATTGTGAAAGAAATAATCCTCATGTCCAGCCCCTTTTCCATTCGATCCCCTCACATTACAAATCATTTCTCTCTTTAATAACTTCCATCTGTATCGTCTTTAACTCTCCCTTCCTTCCCGATCCTCCTCTGTCTCTCGGCATGCTTGGACGCCTCAATTTCTTCTGATAATTTCTAAAACTGCCATAGTATAGTTGGACCAATGTCTGTAGATGTTCTTTTTTTTATTTAAATATTACGTAGTGTCTTATTTCGAAAACATTCCTTCATTGCAGTCTAGTGCAAACGCTCTTACTGTAGCACATGTAAGTGTAAGTATCTTTAGAAAAAAAAAAACAAACATGCGATGTGTCGAAAAACGTTGGTCATGCAAACCATAGGAGAAACTAGTTCTAGTTAGTATTATTAGCTGTAAGGGTACGTTTTTGGATGGACAGGATTAGACTCTCAATCTGTCCAAACGGTTTTCTTTGTTAGTGATGTTATCCGAACATTGCTCTACACGATATACTGTGGAGATGTATTCATGTCAAACTGTGGATATGGGCTTTAAAAAAAACTATTCAGACGCCAGGGGATAAAATGGCAAATTGATTTATCTCCCCCGAATCAACGGCTGATTCTCACCGGCCCGTTTCCTGAAACGCCTTAGTCACGTCTTTAGTTACTGTAGGTTACTTCCAGTCAAACTCTGGAGGGAGTGGCTGACTGCAGAAAAAAAAAAAAGGAATCTGTTTAAAATGCACAAACAACCTTGTTTTTGATGGCGCTGTCCGGCCGGTCCACAAAGCCCGGCCGCAAAACAAAAAAAAAAAAAGGAGATCCTGGTGCAGCAAAAAAAAACCCTCTCCACACGAAGAGCACATTCAGACATAACGAGACAATTAAACAGGGACAGAGGAGAAATTCAAATTCAGAGTTTCAGTTCGGCAGTCTACCAACTCTGGGGTAGAAATGTCTAGTCAGAGGCTAGCGACGAGAAAAAAAAAAAAAGCAATTATTCATACAACAGTAGCATTCCTAAGAAGAGTGTTGTTTCCGCTAGCGCAGTGGTTCTGTCTCAGTGTTTCTCCCGATAGTTAAGGCCTTTTTTTTTTTCTTTTTTAAATATAATAGATTCTATTTTTTATTATAGTATATTTTTGTGTGAACCGGACGGGTTAAAGAGCAGCGGCAGTAAGCTCCTCTTTACCTCCGTCTGCTGTGTTTTTTGTAATTCAGCTCCGTGCGTTATACACTGCCAAGCATCAAGGGAGAGGCTTCTGTTCTTATTGCAGTTCTTTCTTTCATTGGTGCCCTCACTGGTTTGGTCTTGAACTTTTTTTCCTTTCCTTTGGCATCTGCTCCTGTGTATACGACCCTTTTGGCTACTCTGTGAGCAGGAGAGCAGGGCAATACGATGCACTTGATTTCTGAACCGTCGGACATGGTGTCAAACTAAGGCCCCGTACACGTCGCGTGAGCTCGAGGCGGCATTAATCTGACGACTGCCCCCAAAAAAACAAAAAAAGAATCTGGGAGGGGGAACTATTTTGCTTTGGAGTGTTTCCTGTGGTTGCGGTTCGGGGGGATTTCTTTTAACTGTGCACGCCTGAAAACAATTCAGGACGCCGCACAGCTTTACTGCCACAATCCTGCAATGTAGAAACTGAACTTTCAAACCATGCAATAGGAGCGACGAGTGTGTGTGAAGCCTTAGTCGCCTTGTCTCTCTTCAACATGACTTTTTATCTTCCCCACCAGCTGAGTAGACCAACCTGCCCCCCTTTTGCTCAACTCACTGATTCAGATTCCTACAGTGTGTGTGAGTGTATGCAGGTGCATTAATGTGTGTGTGTGTTAGAATAGCTCTGTCTTGGGAATATCCCCAGTTTATCCCGACAGATTAGGCCGCTTAAATCTCCGAGCGAGGGCGTGTTGTTTCCTTGACCACTGAAGTACACAAGCAGAGAGGTTGCAGATCCGTCGGGCCAGTTCTATTAGAACCTGGACCTCAACAAGCCCACTCTTCCTCCTCCTCACTTCCCCCCAACCCCCCTGCCCCTCCGCGACGTGTTTTTCCTCCAAATAGAGCAAAAGTTTAAAACTGCAGAAGATTAACCAAAGACCAGATTTCCATGCTTACGCTGCCAATTGCCATCAAAAACAAGCGGAGAGAGACAGACAGGTTCTCTGAGCTGTCCCGGTCTGTTTTAAATAGCCCTTACCCCCATCGATACGGTGTCAGTTTGGCCTGTGAGCGTGCCATTCTAACATATGCAAGTTAAACCAAAACGCGAGGACCGCATGCTTCGACTCTAAACTACAGTCTCCCCTTATCATCCAGGTCTGAAGAGCTTCTCTAATCCGTAACAAGTTTTTAGACACACGATCCTGTAACTAATTATAGCACAAGTCTTCTTCTTCTTCTTTTTTTTTTTTCTCTGTGTCTCCATAGTGCTGCCAAGTTTTAAAATATAAACTAATAACTATAGCTATTAGACATAACCGAGAAAACAAAAAAAATACATTATAAAAATCTGCATTGTTCGGTGTTGTAATATGGGGGTGTTTTGGGGGGTAGGGGGTCCTATATCCTCAGGTTTAAGGTATTAGCAATTTACCAAAATATATATATATATGAGGACAAAAAAAATAAATATGCTAGCAAACTGTACAATTGGATTTTTTTGGCAATAGGGTTCTAAACGTGGTCCTTTCAGCCATCGTACAGGAGTGAACCACACAGTGGACTGAAGTGAACTAACACTACTGATTGGGGTAGGACTTCTGTGTTCTCCATAAATCCAACTTGTTGTCCTGTGAGTGCTCAACCAGTTTGGTCACAATAGTGAAAATGAAGCGAGTGCTCTCTTCTTCTTCTTCTTTTTTTTTTTCTGTTGCTTTGTCGTCTGTATGAAAAGAAGTGTGCGCATTTATTTTAACACCGTGACACTTTTCTTTTTTTCTGTTGTGACTCTTTGTTTTTTTTGGTGGGATGGGAACATGATCGGATGGAGAATATTGTTTTACGTCAACCGCCAGAACTGTTCAGGGATCTCGACGCTGCATTCAGGTCGTTTTAGGGGGTTGATGCAAAAAAAAACAAAAAAAAAGCATTTGGACCCTTTTCCAGGTTTGAATTCTGAACTCAAACTTGAAAGGAAGCAAACAGAAACCAAACAAGATCCGACAACAAATGTACAGAATGTTCCCCGACGTTAACATTTGCCCCCAAAAGGGATGAACGCAGCAACAGGAGGGAACCTTTTCGAGTCCCTGAATGTTCTCCGGATGACTATAAATGTACAATATTCTGCTTAAACATATGTTAATTCTTTTGAACCAAATGTTGTGTTTTTATTTTGCATCCGTTTAGTAATAACTCCAGATGTCACCGAGTTGTTTTGTGTGTCAGCACTGATGGGTAAAGGTAAACTAAACGGGAAGTTAATGGGGTAGGAAAGAAAAAAAAAAAAGAAGTATTTTTACCTTCAATTGTCCAGAATGCTTAGAGTGATTCTACAGTTTACATCAGATTGCCGTTTGTATCTACGAGATATATTTTTTGTTTAAATCAGTTTATTTTTGAGGAAAGACTTTGATTTCTTCGTGGGAGCGGGGTATCCGGGACCAAGACCCACGTTGCCCCTGTTCGTCCGGCCTTACAGGAGGGACCGGACCGGAGGCTCACGGGCAACGTGCTCTGCTTTTACTCTCCTTTTCTTTCTGCTTTTATTTATTGATAGATTTATTGTGCTGTCATTTGGTATGGGATTAGAAACTAAACAAGGTTGACTCAACGTAAAGGAGAGGAGACTGAATGAAAATCTAAAGTACATAAAATAATTGTAGTGTAAATCTATCAATGTCTTATTATATTGATGAACATCATGAAATATATGTATATTGGAAAAACAGTATCTATGACAACTTGTACTTTTGTGTGTGTGTGTGTGCTTCATGTGATTATTTGTGGGTGTGCAACAAGGGAAAGATGCAATTTTGACTGCAATTCTGGGACCTTATCTGACCTGTATGAATAAGCATAAATTTGTTACCAATACAAAGAGAAACCTCTTTCCTTAATTGATCCTCATTACGTGTAAGTGTGCCAAAAAAATACATGGAGACCTGGAGCCATAAAAGTGCACATTTCTGCATTTGTCCAGAGTCTTGTTTATAGTCTGCTGTTAACTCTGAGAAGACTCCACTCGATGCTACACACTGAAACACACAAATGGTTTTATCTATCTGCTCCTGAAACTGTGATCCTCTCAAAGAGTACGAGGAACCGAGATGTTCTGGAAGTCAGGAAGACATCATCACATCACAATAGTTTGGTTTGGATGTTTGTGTGTCGTCTACATGGTCATGGAGGGTTTAAAGCCCGTAGAGCAGGGATCTCCAACTCCAGTCCTCAAGGGCCACAGTCCTGCATGTTCTAGATGTTTCCCTTCTTCCAACACACCTGATTCAAATGATCAGCTCATCATCAAGCTCTGTTGAAGCCTGATCCTGATCATTTGAATCAGGTGTGTTGGAAGAAGGAAACATCTAAAACATGCAGGACTGTGGCCCTCGAGAACTAGGATTGGACACCAGATCTCCAGCTCTGTTCCTCGTGAGCTACCGTCCAGCAGGTTTTAGACGTTACTGCAACACACCTGACTCACATTAATGGATCATTAACAGACTCCATTAATGTGAGTCAGGTGTGTTGCAGCACGGAAACACCTAAAACCTGCTCACGAGGACCAGAGTTGGAGATCCCTGATGTAGAGAAACATTTAACCTCTAATGCCGGGGTGTCCAATCCTGGTCCTCGAGGGCCACGGATCCTACATGTTTTAGATGTTTCCCAGGATCGTTATCAGGCTTCTGCAGAGCTTGATGATGAGCTGATCATTTGAATCAGATGTGTTGGAAGATGGGAAACATCTAAAACATGCAGGATCGTGGCCCTCAAGGACCAGGATTGGACACCCCTGGAGTACTGTATCCAAAAAAAATGTGCCTCTTGAATGTACAGATGAACTAATA